TTTGTAATGAGGATTCACTGTCTGTTGCCGTTCCTTCGAAAGTTAAAACGTTTGACGGGCCAGCGCGACTCCCGTCATTCCTCCGTGACGAATTCGTTCTCAATCTGCCTAAGAATCTCGACACAAATGGCAACAGTTACACTCACAACCGATGGCGGGATGAATAATTTTAAAGTCAGTAATTATATTGCTAGACGCGAGTTATTCAACTGTGAATTGACTCTTGACATGCAAACGCATATTAGAGAGACAGACCTTGTAATAGACGAACTTTTTTCCCCCGAACGTAAATACGGGATTTGTAAAAGGATAAGCCCCACGCCTCCTAAGAACGAATTTGTCGCGCTCCTAGCCTGCCGAGCAGTCGTTCTGGTGGAGTTTGGGCGAAAATTAGACCGCGCGAAAAATGGAGCGAGGCGAAAAATTAGGAGGTGGGGGGAGGGCGAGAGGAGAGAAGGGAACGCCTACCAGTACTCATTGATATTTTCAAAATACGCCTCCAGATTAATTATGCATTCCGAAATTTGAGCTTCGAGAAAACAGCTAATCACGGAACGGCATATTTCCAGCTGAAATGAAGGTTAACTTCCGTTAAAAACACACGTGGAACCATGTGAAATACAGATAATAACATGGAAGCAAAAGCGAACGATTATTGTAGATTTCGTAATTGTTGTTTTCGAGTTAAATTCGGAAAACCAGGGACAGGAAAGTCTTCTTTCCTATCTTTCGAAAATATATTCAAGCCATCGAAAAGACACAAATCGAAAAGATCACAAATCAAGAACATACAGATGAAGAATTATGACACCTCAAAACTGACCCTTATTATCACGTCGCAAAGGAAAGTCATCTAAAGATATCCTAATAAGAGCTAAACTTTGAGGGTAGAAGATTTAAAAGCGCTAACGAATGGTAGGAGACGCACAGACCTATCAACACCTTTCAACAGTCGCTGCTTTTTGCATTCCGGATTTCCGGCGCGTCGCCTCACGCAAGGTAGAGGTTTTCATGGATCACGTAACTCTTTTCATTGCTCTCATTAAACTGTCCCTCATTCAATGATCAAGATAGAAGGTTTACCACACAACACTCGTGATCATTTAATTTTCTTTCACTCAGGAAAGTAGATTTACAACACGATTGATAAATGCCCTTGCAGTGGTAACGCTATGTAACGCAACACGCTAAACACAATGGGCCTTTACACTCCACAAAAGGGTCTCAAACACTGTCACTTAAAATGCTTAAAACATTTGTACCGTTGGAGCGCGCTTGGTGGAGCTGTTAAAGAAGGATCAAAGTGGCCGTGCAAATCTTTGAAAGGCTTCAAACTACGACGAACAACGAATTTGACCTGATCGAAAAAAGGGTCTCAAATTACACGCTAAAATACAGTGTTTGCGTTTGTCCTTAAGAACGATATACTACGTGACAAATACGCACGTAATATACTTCTACACGGTCAAAATATATCAAATTACATTTAACTATAGTGAAAGGAAAAAGAAATGTCCTAACGTCTACGGAATATTCAGTCAAACTCTTCCCATTTCTACCGCTTTTACCGCCATATTGAAAATAACGCTACCACAATGCAATGCAATCGGAGTGCGCAAGGCGCCTGGTTTGTAGGCATAGGTACGAGTCAACGCAACCGTCTCGAAGATGGCAATTATTATATTTTGGGAACATTAATCAGGCACAATAAGTCAATGTCATACGACGAGCTGCTCACTACGGCTAGCATGACATCCTTATATTGTAGGCGCTTACACCAGGCGTTAACACTTCTTTTTATACACTTAAATGGTATGGGCCCTACTTACATTGGAAGCCTTTTTAAACACAGGAATACACCGTATAGGCTAAGAGGCGAGGGTTTGAATTTAGAATTACCTCAATTTGATCTTATTTTTAAGAATTCTTTCACTCATTTATTAACTAAATTATGGAACAGTTTGCCTTCTCAAGTGCGTCTTTTAAGTGATGTTCATGACTTCAGAAGTAGATTGCACGATTGCAGTTGTTTAGAATGTGTCTCATAGTGCACGATTGTGGCTTTTAATTGCTTTTAGAATGAGTACTACAGTTTTACATATCATATTTTACATATCAGTTTTACATATGCTTTCAACATGTGGCTTTCTGTTGTTTTTAGAATTGAATATTATATTGCTGTAATTATTATAGATTTTATTTCTTCACGTTCGTATTTTGAACGAGGTTTTTTGGCTCTATGACGTAACGTGTTAAAATAAATGACTGATTAATTGACTGATTGATTGATTGTTCCCACTATTCCTCTAATCCCTTGTGCCCACTGTTCCTCAGTATGGTCCTTTGTTCCCACTGTTCCTCTGGTCGTCTGTGCCCACTGGTCTTCTGTACTCACTGGTCCTCTGTTCCTACCATTCCATTGGTCCTCTGTACCCATTGGTCCTGTGGTACTCAGTATGGTCCTCTGTAGCCACCGTTCCTCTGGTCCTTAGTATGGTCTCTCTGTAGCCACTGATCCTCTGTGCTCACTGTTCCCCTGTGCCAACTCTTCCTCTGGTCCTCTGTACCCACTGGGCCTCTGTTCCTCTGTGCCCTCTGTTCTTCTGGTCCTCCGTACCCATTGGTCCTCTGTTCCCACTGTTCCTTTGGTACAGTGCCCACTGGTCCTCTGGGCTCACTGGTCTGTACTCACTGTTCCTCTGGTTCTCTGTGCTCACTGGTCCCCTATTCCCACTGCTCCTCTGTACCCACTGCTCCTCTGTTTCCATTGTTCCACTAGTCCTTCGGACCCACTGTTCCACTAGTCCACTGTGCCCGCTCTTCACTAATCCTCTGTTGCTACTTTCCCATTGTACCACTGATTCTCTGTGCCCTCCGTTTTCGTTGTTCCACTGTACCCACTCACTTTACCCTTCTGCTACATTTTTGTTATTAGTTTTGTTTTGCTTTTTTTTTTTTTTTTTTTTTTTTTTTTTTTTTTTTTTTTTTTTTTTTTTTTTTTTTTTTTTTTTTTTTAACCATGGGGGCTTACAAGTGGGTAGGGGGATAAGGTAAGGTAATTTACCTAGTAGGGGACAACCTTGTCCTATTGTAAATTCACCTGCCGTTGGCAAATTGTTAAATAAAATAAAATAATAGTAAAATAAACTCAGTATATGAGACTACTCAGATTTTCACATGCCATTGCAGAAAGCCATCATGCAGGCTCGTATGACTCAAAACACACTTTTAGGTTTACTTACTATTTGGCTTTTCGTGAACAAAGGTAAATCTGTGCAGATTAATTCTAAAAGTATGGCACACACTTGCCAAGAAAGGATTACGTCTAACTGATCTTGATGTAAGTTATCCCTCCCAATAAGCATCCTTATTCCATCTTGGTACCACAGGAATTTCTCATGGATATGTAGCTTTGTTCTGTAGTTTACAACGAGAGGCCTGGTGCTCGCTACGTAAAACGCTTCCCCTCCCAACCCCTGCCTTTGTTATTTTTTTTGGCGCTCTCTCTCACCCAAAAGCCCTTAAAATATTGTCTGCTGGGGCTAGCAACGCAGATACCAATTTTGGGGGACGGCAAAAAAGTAGAGATCATAGCGGCTCCGACTCCCTGAAGAGGCAAAATGAATTAAGACTTCGAATTGTTCCTCCTCAATTCGATTGTATGAGAAAGGTTCATGGTTTTTTTCCCCTAACCATCCTATCACACTGGTGATAATTTAGAGCTCTAGAGAGGCTAGCATATTTTAATTTCGAAATCGATCAAAACGCTGGACGAATTCTCGAATGATTATTTGGCTACAGACGATTATGGAAACACACATCGGAAAGGCAAACGCTGTCTATCCCTACATAGATATTTTTTTTTGATGTGTATTGTATAATTTGAACTCTCAAACTCTCGCTATGCACGCTTCTATCCAGTCCGCTGCGCTACATCTGCTCATACTCACTTTAAGCACGAAGGCGCGCTATAAAAGGAGCCTTACGTCCCACTGGACCATTTGTCTATCAACCGTCGTGTGATGTAGAACTCTTAGAGTCAAGTCAGCTTGAGCTACAGCAACTCCAAAGCAGTGAACAGCGGGCGCATTCCTCAAACTTGTTTTATCTCTTCATCACAATACAAGAATTTCTGAGATTTGTATTTCCTTTCTCCATTGGAAACTATCTTTGTTTGTGGCGTTAAATTTGAGATCGAAGTAGGTGGTGCGCACGTTACCTCATTGCCACCATGCTGGTGGAAGTAAAACAATAGATATCTCATTAGCTCCTTTTGTTCGTCTACCAGCATTTAAATTTGACCCGCACTCGTCAACGGTGAGTGACAAATGAGCCTAGGTCTTCCCAGGGAAGACTTCCTTATATAGCGCGCCTTCGCGTTTAAGTACAAATTGCATAATTAAACGGCTAAAACGGTCTGTTACTACTCATCATATAATAATCATTCAGAGTATTAGTCTGTATATTACAGTAAATAACAATAGAAACATGAAATAAACAATTTTTAATACAAGAGAAAAATCGAGTTTCCAGATTGGATTTGAACCCACGACCCTCCGATAGGGTCAATAGAATCGCAAATAACCATCAATTTTCTCCTCACAGTACTGAACATAATCAGCAAAACATCAGAAGTAAATTTCATAAGAATCAACGAACTGATCACCAACGAGTTACTGCTCAAACCTAGTACAAATTCACATGGTTGATAATAATAATTAAAACACTTTTAGGAGAATTAATGCTGAAAAAACCCACAAAAAATATCTATCGAATTTTCAAACTCTGAAGGAGCCTTTCTGCATTTCAACTTATCCTTGCGCGGACATTCTCGCAGTTACCACGAGCGTCATGGGTGAAGCATACTTTCTTTTAACAGTCTCATAAAGCGTTCTGGTCTCCTGAGTATATACGAGTAAGCTTATCTAAATGCCCTCACAAAATTAAATCATCACAGAAAACTTATTTTGCATTAATCTTGTATTAACACTGGTATCGACCAAACAAAGCTTGTGTACATCTACCCTGCTTGGGGTCAGGGTCATGAGTCAATGTTCGTTACGTTATCGCTTTTTCTTTTTTCGTCAGAGGTCATAGGAGGGAGTATAAATTGTCTGGGAGAAGCCCGTCCGACTTGGCTAATGGGTGAAACTCAAGCGCAGTAGTCAGAGCAGCTGCACCAGTATCACCGATTTTCCTGATGAAAAACATTCCTCTCTGTCACAGATGTAAAATCTTCGAGACGCTTAGCGAGAGCATCAACACCAGCATCACCAATGCCATTGTAGGAAACATTCAACGCTGTCAGAGATGTATTATCTTCCAAAGTCTCAGCCAGGGCAGCAGCACCAGCACCTCCAATTTCATTCTTAGACAAATTTAACTTTTGCAGAGAATGATTAACCTTTAAAGACTCAGCCAGAGCAACTGCACCAGCATCACCAATTTTATTAAAAGGCAATTTCAACTTTTTCAGAGATGTATTCACTTTCAAACACTCAGCCAGAGCAGCAGCACCAGAATCACCAATTTTATTCTCCTCCAAATACAACTCTGTCAGAGATGCATTCTCTTTCAAACACTCAGCCAGAGCAGCAGCACCAACATCACCAATGTTATTATGATTCAAATTCAACTTTGCCAGAGATACATTTTCTTTCAAACACTCAGCCAGAGCAGCAGCACCATAATAACCAATTTCATTACGAGAGAAACACAACTCCGTCAGAGATTTATTTTCTTTCAAACACTCAGCTAGAACAGCAGCTTCATCATCACCACCTTCATTACATGACAAATCTAACTTTGTCACACTTGTATTTGTTATAAGAATGTTGGCTATTAAGCTAGCCTTAGCTCTCCGTGATCCAGTCATAGCTTTAATTTGAAGACAATGGCCAAGAGCGCGGGCCAGTTCTGCATCGAAATTCTTCTCATTTTTGCATTCATCAATGCACTTTAATAGAACAGTCATACTATAGGCGGGTTCATTATCCTCGTCCTCCTGGTTTAACTGTGTTGCCATACTTTTTATAAGGTTCTTTGCTGTTTCTTGGCACCGTGCTGCTAGAATGCCAAATGCAAATAGAAGCACTTTTTTCAGCTCGTGGCGATATCGTTTGTCAACAGCTATGCTCTTTGTGCGTATTTCTTTCTCCATAAGCTGATAAGCAAGATCCAATGCTGCGAAGAACTCTTGGAAGGTCTTGTGAAGAAAGCTATAACGTATAGTCGGTCTTAGCTTACTGCCTCCGGGCTGAACTGACAGAAATCCAAATCCAGGTAAATCGCTTTCTTTGTGTTTTCCAAGCTCCTTCTCGTCAAAGTCCAAGTTGTCTTCAAGTAAACCTTTCAAAGCTATCGAGCCAAGGTGTTTCAATTGGCTTTCGTAAAGTTGTACAAGGTCTTCGCCGTTTTCTGGAAGTTGTTTCTTTGCTCTGTATCTTCTTAGTATACAATCCACTATCTCCATGTACAGCTTACTTCTGTTTTCAGGAAATACACCGTTCAAATCTTCATAGATCACGCAAAGAAGCGTAACGTTGAGAGGATTCGTCGACATTTCGTACAAGGATTCGTCATCATCTAGTCGTTCGATAAGCTGCGCGGCCAAGTACATGTTCTCTCTGAAGTACTTTACGATGAAGGTTTTCACATCTTCTTCAGTGAATCCCTCGACCTCTAGCAGGGTGTCGCAATATTGTCGAACTATGACTCCAGCTTCGTGCCGTGCCGTAACAGCCACGCGACATTTTGGCAGCACTCGGCCTTGAATAATTTCTAAAAACGTTGGTAGCTTTCTCTTAGAAACCTCACTCAATCCATCGAGTACCAAGAGAACTTTAGATTCATTGTGGCGAATAAAGTCGAAGAATCTCTTTCTTTGGTGATCACCGACATCTTGAGGTAGAAGTTGATCATCAATGGCTTCCCAAAGGCCATACTGAACTTCACGACATTTAATCAAAAGCACTATGAGGAATTTTGTGAAGTAATTTCCGGTTGCGTGTTTTTGAGTGGCCCAGTCGAAAACAACTTTCTTGCAGCAAGTTGTCTTTCCCATACCAGGCTTCCCTTCTATTGATACAACTCTTGGTTCTTCACATTCTTCGTGCGGGTTGAAGATTTCAGACATCGTGAGAACTCGATCCGTAGCTGTTCCTCTCGTTTTATCTTTGTAGATGACTTTAAGTCTGGTGTAGAAGTTTCCAAAAGAAAAGTTCAAGTCTTCACACCAGGGAAGGAGGTTCATCGCACCCTCGCGTGTTTTGTAGAGTTGACGAATGTTCTCAATCATTTCGGTGGGATCATAACCATCTATAATAAAAATAGTTCTCGTAAGGTGTTGACTCAAACTATCGAAACCACCTTAGTTTTTAGAAATATTGTAAAATAATTTTTTCCAAGCAAAAATCGCTTCAGCGTTTCAAACGCACGTTTTTAACAGCGCCGATCATCAAAAATGGCACAAATTCAAATACTCTCCCTTTCACAAAACTCGTGTTTGAGTAATTTTTTTGCTTCGCATATTTAGATCGATCCTTTGTGAGAACAAATCACATAAGTTTTTTTTTTTAACGGTTCTTTCCACTTAAACATCATTTTTCACTTTGCCTTTGCCACCATGACCGTAAATATGCAACTTCTAATCTCGGCTCAGTGCAAAATTCCCACTTCTTGCCCATGATATATTTATTCAAACTGACTAAAATAAGTTAGAGGAGTATGGAACTATAAAAATATGTTGCGAATTCGGCGAACTTCTAGTGCAGCCGGTCAACATAATTTGCACATTTTCGAAAATTCCACACATCCAAAATATTTCTTATTATCCATTTAGAGAGTATCCTTATCAATATTACCTGAAGTGCAGTCATTTTAAATTGGATAATGTATACTCTTATTTTATAATCAACTAATTTACAACTAATTTGTGTCACGCCACGTTATTATGCGAAATTCAATTACTAGTTCGTCTGAACAATATTTTGCCAGGTTGCTTAGAATAAAAAAGACGTGTATTAACTTCAAAATGAAAATTTTCCCTCTCTTGCGCGCAAAACGGACGCTATAATTTGTAGTTTACAAAGTAACTGGCCTAATTTTCTACGGCGCAGTCGGTGAGTGGCCTCCCGATCCTACTTTCAGCTCTTGAAGCCCAGTGGTCTTTTGAACAAAGATGGTTATAGAAAAGACCCCGACTGGAAGGCATCGAGGATAATTCAAAGTAATTATAAGAATGTCGTGTACTTCTCAATCCTTTTAAGATCGGGTGCTAACGAGCAAAAAATTCATCCTTTGGCGGATGTGACTTGATTTTGATTGACACTCCATTTGATTGTCATCTCTTAGCCCACTGTCAAGTTGAATTTTCCATAAAGTTCTAAGTGGTATGATCAGCCTGAGCAATTTAATCAAGAATTTGTCTCCTTTTGGCTTCATAGGAAATATGAAGATTCTGTACACACTGTTAAGATTTTCTTTTTCAGAATCATCCAACTTTAACATTTATTACATAAAAGCGTTTACCTTCCATCTTTGGTCTCCTGCTAGGTGGTGGCCCGCTTGTCCAGTCATCCAATTTTCGTTTCACCATTTCAAATTCACATGAACCTAGCAGAGCAAATATGTACATCTCTAGCTTGAAATTAAATTAACATATTATTTCTAACCGGGTAACAATAACAAAAAAATTTGGGGAGAGGTTTACCTTTCATATTTGGCAGACCATCATATTAGTTTTCTTGTAAAGTATATGTCGGTCAATGAATATTAATTGATAATTGTTTGTTTTGGTCTGATGATGGAGGGTAATGTTTATGCCAGTCTTGAAAATAGGGTCTAAGACCCAATGATAATAATTCAAAACATCTAAGGTAACCACAACCATGACGTGTCTCTAACACACCAGCTTAAATCACGAAAAAAGTATAAAGACTTCTAGTAGTGCGTGATCATTATCATAAGATCAGGCTCCGCTTCCCTTGACGATGAGGAATGTAATATAAATGAGCTACATTGTAGGCTACATGTCACCTTGATTTATATCTGATAACAAAGAATGCTTTCTTAACTTTCAAAAGAAGCTGAAATCCTAGTTATGTGAGACTATGTTCAATTCAATTGAGCTGCATAATACGACTAACCTTGATCCATTAATTTTCCTTGTCCTTCTTTCAATGACTCCAACTTGTCGCTTAATTTTCCATGATCGGTTTTCAGCGTTTCAAAGCCACTTCTGATATTTTCTACGAAGGAACTTTGTTGTGAGTTCGCAGTTTTAAAAAGAATGTTCTTGTAAGAAAATTGATGAAGGTGAGGAATTTACCATCACCGAGCCTAAATTCATTTTGGGCAAAGCCACGAGAAACTCCAAAAGCCTTTTAACCAAGGTTATCTCAAGGGGGCTCTGACAAAGAATTCAAATCAGGGCTCGACACTAACTTTTGGCACTACTTTCCATTGTGGAATGTAATTGTATAATTTTACTTTCCATGGTTAAACTTTCCTTCCCAAAAAATGCGGGACCACATAATTCAGTTACCAGGCAAATAATGTGTAGAAAATAGATACTCCATCGTGTCCTTCAATATTAGCCATGTGAAAACTGTTGCTTCCATTGAAAAACGAGCTATTTTTATCTGCTATATTGGGAAATTCCCCACAAATTTTACAGGTCATCTTTCCCTCCATTTCATTATATGCCAGCCAACTGAACTCATTTTGCCTTTCTTTCCGGAATCCACGGCCAATGCAAGCAGCTTTCTTTTCCCATCATACCTCTCTTTAGCCGTTTCAGACATCAACACGTCGCTGCTTACTTGTTTTTCGTCACCTTGATTAGAATTGCCCTGTTCGCCGCCTTCTTTGTCATTTTTATCTTTCCTAGTGAATCCAAATGCAAACAAACTCATCTCTACGCGCGCCGCTGCACTTTATGTACTTGCAAGAACCTGGCGAATTCAATATGGCGGATGAATCACTACCAGTTTAGTACCTAGGCTTCCTCTGTCAAATTTGCACAACTTGCCGCTTACAATCTAAGATGGCGGCCATCAAACGATGCGTGTTGAGCATGGAGAATACTATGCTTTTGCAAACGAGTAATTGCTCTCTAATAATGTGTTGTACTTTTATCATTTCATTCTTAATACTCTTAGGACTAGTAGACAAAAAAAATACTTTCCATGTCTGCTAAAATTTAGTTGCCAAATCGGGAAAGCATTTTCGCTAAATTTTCGATTTTTACTTTCCATTAATATATTTTACTTTCCATTGGAAATAGGGTAAGTGTTAGTGTCGAGCCCTGCAAATTAACCTGTGCTTGTGTAAAGAGACCCGCATACTTTGTATAACTTATGCTTAGAACAAAATCAAGGCCTATGCAGGGATTCAATAGCTATCCTATATTATCAGACTGCATCTACAAAACACCAGCACCAAATAAACATATCCACAAGATTTGATAAAAATGATCCCAAACAACTGAGAATACAGAACCAGTGAATTAGTTACGCCAGGTTTTAACTACCGCCTCCCGGTAGCTCAATAGATAGAGCGCTGGACTGTTGTGCGGGAGGTCGGGGATTCGAGTCCCGGCCGGACCAACACTCAGGGTCTTAAAATAATTGAGAAGAATTTGCTACCTCTCTATAATATCAAGAAATGGTTTAGATATTCTAGTCTTCTCGGATAGGGGCGAATAAATGAAGGTCCCGTCTCCTGCAGGGTTGGGGGTAGGAGACGTTAATTTCCCACGCACGAGATTACTGTGTGATGGATATCCTCCCTTAGGTTGGGATGGGTGGGTTTACTGGGCCCGCAGTAATTGGCGCAAGCTGTTGCGGTGTCCCTGCTGGTCGGCGAAGCTATTAAATTAATTAAATTACTGTTACCTTTGTAATGAGGCCAGTCTTTGAAAACACTGGGATCACTCAGCAAATGAAAAACAACAGATGCTGCCATGGCACTTGCAAAACCTTTCCAAGAACTTCTGATGTCTGTGCCATCAGCAAAATCTGCGATAGCTTTTACTACGAGCCATTCAATGCGAAGATCATATGCAGCAGTCAACAATTCTGAAACGAAAAGAAAAAAAGCTTAATATGTCAGAGTATATATATGTAACATATATATGCAGAGTAAGTATGTCATTTTTTGTTTGTTTTTTTTGTTGTTTGTTTTTGCTTTTTTTTTAGCATGGGGCCTTTTAAGTGGGTTGGGTTTCAATTTTTTCTGCTTTTAGGGGATGGGGTAACGTAGTAGGGGACAACCTTGTCCTATTGTAAGTTCATCTGCCGTTAGCAGTAATTACGATGATAAACACTCAGCGAGTTAGTTTTCAAGTTATATTTTAAGGTTTGATTGTTGCCTTATGCTTCCCCTTGTTTCCTTGAAATAACTACTATATACATACTTCTGGGTGAGGAGAGTTACTATGATTATATAGTCCCCAAAAATGCATCAAAATGACCCTTTCATAGCTCGTCAACTTGGAGCTCTCAACTTCATGCATTTGCAGCTGATCTGGTCTACAAAAAGACATTTCAGTTCAGTGTCAGGACTTACTCTAGCACAGTATTGCAGATTGTGTAGTGGTACAGAAATGTAAAAATGTCTGGCAAATAGTATTAACCCCATCTGTCTGCCACCATTAAGTGTAATTAAGGGTTAAGTATGCATGGATAGGGTTTGCTATGCTTTTTGGAGTAATGACCTGTCACACAGTTAATCACATTTGAAACCCAGCACCCAGGTATCTTAAGATAAAGAGTTAATGGTACATTTTAAAGTCAACATCCTATTACTCATATTTGAGAAGGAGCAGAACAGTTTGACTCAACTCACCTTTTCCTTCCAGTTCCATTGCATAAGCCTGGGGGTGTGCTTCAAAGAGTTCTGCATGCCGCCAATCTAGATTGATCCCCTCTGGACCACTTAAAAACTCGCCACCCGCATGTACTTCCACTTCTCGTCTTTCAAGATTTTTCAGTGGTGCTTTCCACCCATCAGCAACATTTTTGACGAGGTTCAGGAAATTTCGGCTGACAACAGTTCTTGTTCTGATGGATTGCTCTTTAGTATCCAAAACCATCTTGGATGCATATGTGGTGAGCTTTGCACACACAACCACATCTCCCAGTTTGGCTTTTTCACGGTTCAGGCCACTGCAATATCCCACAGAAATAAGTGCCTTGGGCTGAAGAGAAGTGATAGCGTCTTTTACAGTAACCAAAGAACTGCCAGGACCAACAGAGCCCTCAGAGCATTTCATCAATCCTACTTTCATATGTTCATGCTCTTCATCACCAATTATGCCAAAGTAGACATAACCAAGACCATTTACATAATGTTTAAGTGGATTCTGCAGGTATGCATAGCAACTTAAGAACTCACAGTCTTTCACAGTCAGTAAAAGAACATCTGACTGGCTTGGGCATTGATCTGTAACTGCAGATGGAAGGTCAGACATGTCTGGGAGATGGACACTGCATTCAGGTGGGTCACCATTTTCATTGTCTGCTTGCCATTCTCTTCTGCCTACAGACATTATTTCAACCTCATCAGTAAATGTTTTCATCATCAAACCAGTCCTCCATGACATAAACAGACCCATAAATAGAAGTTACCAATTATAGTCTACCAAAAGTTACTGATTCATGCAGTTCATATTTTTGACTTAGGCACGAAAAGGGATTATAAGGTAGGAGGAGACAATAGAGCTAAGAAATCAGTAGTTACTTCTTTTACATTCAAAAAGGTGGGTTGCAGGGATCAGGGTAAGAAATCTGCATGGTTAGAATAGATAAGTTAAAGGCTTTTTTAAAGGAGTATAAATTTATTGCCTGGTACATTTTACATCCCTCTCCAGGGTGTCAAAATATTTCCATGGCATAAAGCAACTACATGTAGTGGTAACAGTTTTCCCCCCTGGATGGGATGTTTGTCCCTGGCAAGGCTCGCTCCCAGCATTTCATCAGGCTTCTCTGATAATTTGCTGCCACCCATTTATACTCCTGAGTTGAGAGAGGAACTGTGAAAGTGGAGAGTTTTTTCAAAGAACACAACACAATTATGCATAACCTGGCCAGGTCTCAATCCAACCCAGACCACTCCACTCTGAGTCCAGCCCACAAAACATTAGGCCACCATGGCTCCCACAACAAAGTACACATGATTATCCCAATAAAAGAGGCCATGTGTTTATACTATTAGCCTTGGCATACCTCTTGCAGCCTTCTTAAACTTATTCTTTGATGCTCTCTTCATCTTCCTTCCACTGCCTTCAGTTAGTCCCTTGTAGTGTTCTACTGTATCACAGGAACTAGCATGACATCTTTATGATGATTACTATTGTTTCATGGAGGTAATATTAAGTGTAACAAAGTTAAGTGCAACAAAGGATTACAGCCTAACAACAATATTTTTACTTTTCACTGCCATGGAACATTGAACAGTGAAATGACCAATTCATCACTGAGGTAATGCTCGAAGCATACTTAATTTTCATTATTTTAACCAGTCTGCCTGCTGTTAAAGCATACTATCCTCACTGCTATTATATTTTGTCACAGAATAGTGGTGTGTAGCCTCAATCAGATTGTGGCCAAACCATTAGTCATGTAAATTCAATTATGATAATAATCATAATCAATGTACTTATAGGTATCTCTACAGAACTTGTAAATATCTTTCTCCAATACACTTAAAATAATTTCCTGCCATGCGACTCCTCATGTGGATACAGAGATTTATCCAACTTGTATTGATGGTTTGACTCAAATACTTGCATAAACTTAAATCTGAGTGAGACCAGGCAAATTAGCTAGAAAGAGAACTCGGATTTGATTGATAGTTAATATTGATGATTGCTCCCACAAAATTACTACCTTGAAAGGTGGAATAGTTTCTTTGAAATTTGCTTGTTAATAACAGACAGAGCTACTATGGAGGGTTGTGGTGAAAACAAAGATATATTCTAGATTCCTGTTGCTAAACATATTCCATGATTGTTATCAGAACAGATGCTTCAATCTTTATAGTTATTGCTGCTTCGAACTGTGCAAGTATATCACATAAAATTTTAACTAAACAGCAAAGACATTGATTTCTAATCAGATTATGGAATATTTCCCAAGTCAAGATCAAATTTGATTTCAGCATGTTGTGCTATATTGCCAAAAAAAGAATCAAAATTCAGATATTACCTGTTATAATCTAACCTAAACATATCAAAATGCTTGCTAAGCAAGGAATTGGGAAGCCTAGATAAGATTTTGGTGGTGTAAGTATGGTATGTGCATTTCTGTAGTTTCTTCATGTGTAATTCTGCTCAAGGCATATGTAATTAAAATGTCTTAGATTACATCAATTCCAGTAGAAGGCATAACACAGCAACTGCACCTCCAGAACGACTTTTCTAAATGCTCCATACACGGCGCTCTTGAAGTCAGTGGTAACCTGCTCCACACTACGGGTAGTTGGCAGTATCCTCAGCAGCTTCTTTAAAACCTTGTAGTCATGCTTCCTTTTGCTGGACATCAGTACAAACAGCAGCAGGACTTGCTCTGCATGGTTGTCTTAACACATTGACACCTGAACCGCCTGTAACTGCCCCAGCTGCACAATTGCCTCGCGTGAGAACGCTTTCCCACCTACCTCCCCTACTAAGTAGAGTTTTGTCCCCAAAACTTCGTCTATGGTTTGGAGATCAATAAACCAATCAGAATCCGTCATTTGCGCATGTATCTTGATGGGTTTAGGGGGTCCTAGAGGGGCATTATTCTATGCGTCTTCACTAAATGATCAATTTGAAAATACGGCGTCTGTGAAGCCGACCCTAAAAATTTTCAGGTCGGATTTTTCGTCCATTTGCGATCGAGTTAGACCTTGTGGAACTCAGAATGTAAAGTAACAATGCTATTGAATACTCTCCTTGAAAAAGAATGGATATCAAGGTCTTAAAGGTGACAGAATAAGCTCTTGAGTGAACGACAATACAATCTTTAAGGCAATACAAATTATGGATGTAAAGTGAAAACTGAACTTTCGGATTTCAAGCAGGGCCTAGTGACAATTTGACGATTCGATGGCCCGGTAAATATTATGTCTGAGTAACAATGTGTTAAAAAAGTATTGTCTAATAGAAGATTTTGTGTCAAATTGAAGTTTTTTTCAGAATTTTCAACATAACGCTGCACAATTTCTGGCCATTAAGGCAAGTAAACAATGATCTAAGCGTGATGAATTTTACCACGTGGGCTTTGTACACGTAAGAAATGTGTATGTTTCTCGCTTATAACAGCAAATCAAAACCTGTTTTGAATAAATCTATCTGTCATTCCAAAATATTTCTTGGCCATTTTATTCTTGCTTCCTATTGATACATGCAGATTCCATGAAACTTGAGATCTCTTCACTTGCAGACAAATTTGCATATTCCCTTTTGAAATATGATCAACATGCCCATTTGCACACATGCGAAAATATTTAGCGATTTTTATCTTTTATCTTGATTTTTGAGTTAAAACATAAAATGCACCTATCACTTTTTTCACCGGAAATAAGTTCTTCAGTTAGTCTTCTTTCACTGGAGCTTGTTTTTTGGAAAAGATGATTTTTAAAAATTTGGTTTCTCCAAAATTTTGACTTTTTGTTGGCACGTTTTACGTGTAAGTGTCAATGGGTTAATGGGCAAAGGCATTAATCATGAAAAGCTGATTAAAGGGTGGATGACACAGCTTAAATGTTCCGTCGACATACTACTACTTGGCCTTACTAAACAATGTTAGTTGCTCCTTAGTAGCGAAGATGAGATGTAGTTTTCCATGGGTTTCATAATTTGTTGGGCCTGATTTGAAGGGAGGGTCAGGTACGAACTGACTGAAAATAGGTACGAAATGTCCGAGCCTGGGTACGAAACAACTAGATAGATCAATTTTTTGCATAGGGCATTTAATTAGGTGCGTAGTCATTCTTATCTTATTCTAGTTTTTATCCTTATATTATGTTATTTAGACAGGACCCCATTGATAACAATGCTCCTGCACTGAAGGGCTATCCTGTATAAATATTCGTTATTATTATTATTATTATAATTATTATTATTATTATTATCATTATTATACCCCACAAAATATTGATAGAAAGAACCACTTCCCAGAGTTTAGATTCTTGTCTCAAGGAAGTTGGGATGATGTATTATTTAGCAATCATAGAGGAGTAAGTGCTCTCTTTTGAGATATTAACTAACTCATTTTGAAAAAAAGAGGTCTTACTATGAGAAACTCCAATCACCTTGAAGTAAGGACTCTGTCATCAATTTTAATTATCCTCTAGGGTGAAGTGACCTTCGGCTGACTTGACCGTGACCTATTAAGAAAGTAACAAATGTAATGAGGAAAGCGACGAATAAAACGAAACACCGAACAGAATGAAGGAAATAATGAACAACGCAGCCAGTATAGTTAGAAAAAAAACCCCTTCGGGCAGCTGGTATGTTGGCTGATGCTGTCCGTGGCTGAGAGATTGTCTGAAAAATGAATATTTGGCCGAGAAGCGAAGCTTCGAGGGCAAACATGAAATTTTGAGAACAATCTCTCAGGCAAGGACATTATCAGCCAATATACCAGCAAGCCAGAACGGGGTTTATTTATTTTATAACCCTCCCATCAATTTTCACATTGCAATTAAACTGTGCGTAAACACAGTAAAAAAAGCCAGTGGTGATCTGATGGAGAATGCGTGTGATTGATGCAAGCAAGCAAGTACATTTGATTGGTTTAAATAACTTTATTTTCAGTGTGATTGGACCAAAACTTGACAAGCTGTCATTTGAAATTAAATCTCATAAAGCCCCTTAGATCAAAAACCTCAAAAGCTTGGCGCTTTTGGTTCACATTTTCCCATGTGCTGTTTAAAGACTTGACTAGAAAGAAATGTTTATCAGTCTCTATCACTAGACTCGAAAAAGCGAGTTTGGTTTCCTTCCATGTAAATAGGAGAACAGAAAAGTTGAAACTCTTGTGTTGACTATGTTTCCTATTCACAGAAAAAATCGGAGGACAAATATTGATGCGGACCGGGGTTATTGCATGACAACTGTCCTGTGATTTTGCACCACATGACGTAAAGTAACCAATAAAATCGTGCCAAAGTTAATGAGAGGGTTATAACACCGAATATAGACTTGCTCACAAGTCGCACTTTTGAGCGCATAGCACAACAGTGAGCACGAAGTGCAAGCAAGCCCAACCGAGCGAGCAAATATGAGGGGTGGTGAATGGTCCTTCAAAAACTCTGGGTCTCGCAAAATTTTAGTCAAATTTCGTAAGTCTCGCAGTCTCGTTTTTTCAGCGGTTATGTGCGGCTCGCAGTCTTGTTTTTTATTCAAAGGTGTCTCGGAGTCTCGATTCGTTTGTCGGTTTTTTTAAAATGACGTCTTCTCATCACTTGGTGTTGAATTTCATTACAGCAACTTTTAATTTCCAAGAAAAAGTCAATCCTGACTTCTAAATTCTTTTTGTTGATTTTTTCTTTGCTTTTGGACTTCTCTTTTTTCTTTGGTTTCTTTATCTTCCCTTCGGCTCTAGTTTTTCCTCTATCTTCTGATAAAAACACGAAATCAAATTGAAACAAGCAAACAAATAAGAAGATAGGTTTGAATTAACTTTGTTTTTCCACAAAAATTAATCTTTTGAATATTAACTTTCATTTCCTACATATATGTAGCTGGTGGTTTTGATTTCCCCGCTTTCAACGCAATCGCTGGAAAGTGATCGAGTGTATGGTAGTTTTAATATTTCGACCTATTTGCCAATTTTTGCTATCTTAGGCAAACAATCCCAGGTAAAACCATCATCAGTGCAACTTGCAGCCTAGATCTTTCATAGCTAGCTATAGTAGCTTACAGTGATAGGACAGCGGTACTTGACTGGCCAAGCGTGGCGTGGTTGTTTTCGCGAGGCCGGGATTGAAGTTTTACTGGTAGACTAACAGCAAGTTGTCGGCACATTCATAAATACCAACATTTATAGAGTACTCATGTGATTTGTGCATTCACTTCCGATGAGAAAAGAACACCTTATGCCCATTTCGGTTTCCTCCTATGTTTTAAACGCTTCCACCTCAACTGAGTTCTTTCTGACAACTTCCAGACAACTTGAGTTGCAAGTGACAGCCCGTCAGTCAAAACAAAGGGAAACGACCAAGCGCAACCTCCTGACCAGAAATTAGGTCATGGCCAAGAAAAAATAGAATTTGTTGACTGCCGGTTGACAGTTTTTTAGATCTGATGTTTACAAAGGTTTACAACAAAAGGATCCTTTGTGAGACTTTTGTAAAAGCTCATTCTAGGTCACTCTCACAGCTCTCAACCATATCTGGGCTTGAGATTCAAGAGTCTGAACGTCCTTCACTCGCACTCAAAACCCTTTGAAGTCTCAGTCTGGCAATCTAAAAAGTCAAAATGTCTCGGGCTCATAAAGAAAAACAAGGAAAGCCATAATGGACAAAAGTGGTCAAGAATTTTTTCTTCAAGTCGAGAATTTTTTCCTCGAGTTGAGAATTTTCTCTTCAAGTCAAGAATTTTTTCCTTGAGTCGAGAATTTTCTCTTCGAGTCAAGAAGGATTTTTCCTCGAGTCGAGAATTTTCTCTTTGAGTCGAGAAAAAGGCGTGTTGGGTACGTTGCTGACTTTTTGCTGTTGTCCGAAAGACAATAGTTTTGGTGATAATATATAGATTTAGCCCAGCCTAAAAGCGGAGCTCCCAATAAGTTGAAATTTTGCATAAAATTTTTTTACATATATTAAAAAATTTTAGCCAAAAATTCATTCAGTATCAATTAAACCCATCGACACTTACGTGTAACACATGCCTGTGAAAAGTCAAAATTTTGGAGAAACCAAGAAAGCAAACACAATGCACAGTAAATTTTTAAAAATCATCTTTTCCAAAAAACAAGCCCCAGCGAAAGAAGACTAATTAAAGAACTTATTTCCGCCGAAAAAAAGCGATAGGTGCATATTATGATTTAACTCAAAAATCAAGATGAAAGATAATTGCTAAATATTTTCGCATGTGTGCAAATGGGCATGTGGGTCATATTTCAGAATAGAATGTGCGAATTTGTCCGTGAACGAAGAGATCTCAAGTTCTATGGAATCTATCAATAGGAAGCAGGACTAAAAATGGCCAAGAACTATTTCGGGATGACAGATTTATTCAAAACAGTTTTTGATTTGCTGTTATAACCGAAAAACGTACGAATTTCTTAAATGTACAGAGCCCAAGTGGTAAAATTCATCATGCTTAGATCATTGTTTATTTGCCTTCAAGGCCAGAAATTGCGCAGCATTATGTTGAAAATTCTGAAAAAAGTTCAATTTGACGCAAAATCTTCAATTAAACAATACTTTTTTTAACACATTAGTACTTGAAAATAATACTTACCGGGTCATCGAATCGTCAAATTGTCACTAGGCCCCGCTTTTAAATTTGAAAAATCAGTAAACGGACGGGCTTGGGTGACAAAATTAACGAATCACTGGCTCTCGCAAATGAAGAAGGCTGACTTTTGCTTGCGACAGATTTCCTTTGAGGGGTCATGACAGGACGGAAAATAGTGCACTGTAAGTACCTCCTGTTGTCCTATTCAAATCCTTAGAAAACTTTTCTAAGGCTTTGTATGGGACAATGGGAGGTACCACAGTGCATGCATTTTCCATCCTGTCATGCATGTTTAACCCATTGACACCTGAACCGCCCGTAACCGCCCGAACTTCGCAATCGCCTTGCACGAGAACGCTTTCCCCCCTACCTCCCATACTAAGTGGAGTTTTGTCCCCAAACTTCCTCTATAGTTTGGAGATCAATAAGCCAATCAGAATCCGTTGTTTGC